GAGGAAAACACTCTATGCTTCACTTCACTGGAGCATCAGCTCAGACAGTCCCATGCTGAAAGTGAGCTGAGCAGAATTCTCAGAGACTTAATTTACCCAGAGCTCAACCTCAAGAGCTACTTGGACTGTAAGTCAGACTTAGCTCTCCCTACCATCAGACACATTCTCAGCAGACGTCCAACTGATGAAGCTTTGGAGCTGGACCGCTCTCTGACAAAAGCCCTCATGAATCCAAGGAAGACTTCCCCTGCAACTAAAGACAGGGGGTCAAGGACAAAGCATGGCAGCGTATCTGTGCCGCAGAAACCTCCCAGTCGACGTCATCCACATCCATGGCTTTTGCCAATGGAGTGGGAAGACTAGAGAGTCTCTGAACGTAGCTCACAGTCATTTTTGCAGCCATCAACAATAGTGTTCAACAACAGACTCATTTTGACCCCTCCCCTCTGCTTTGTGTCATGTAATAAATGACCATTTACTATGTTAATTTATTACATTATTATAGATGTATAACTGGTTGGTAATTTTGTTGTATTTTCATATCAACATTTTGGATACGGTTTACAGAATATGTCTGGCTAACACTTGCTATTAAGTCCAAAGCTAATTATAGTAGATGGGGTCTAATAACCTGACATATGGACTTGTGTACAAACTCTTGTTAAATGCAACATTTCTTTGGTTTAATAACTTTGAACCTGTATTTGTACAGACAGTATATAGAGATGCTTTTGGAGCTTTTGCACTTGATGTAACTTCTTTGTGTTCCCTTGCATTTTTAAATTATTTTTAGTTTCTTCTTTCCTGCAAGGAATAAAAATGTCAGGCAGTGGAGAGTTTTTGTCAATAAAATCACAATACTAGAATAAAATATTGATAAACTGTCTCCTTATTTTAATATTGATCTCTAAATCAAAAAGCAGAATGTACAGAGACAGATTAAGACAGATTAGGGGGCATCCCCAAGGGGATGGGTCAAATGCAGAGGTGATTTTCTTCAATGTGAGATCAATAAAGTTCAATTAAATATACATATAAAAAATCACTGTTCCAGTTTGAATACTTTAAGTTACACTGCGTTAAACAACAATGTTCATGCCCCTTTAAATTTCTACATTGTGTCATGTTAAAGTCGTGAAATGTTTCCATCTCTGTTAAAGTCATGCAGCAGATTGTAATGCATTTTTTAAACTAAATGTATCAAAATCCTGAGTGAGGATAGATAACTGGTACCAATGAATTTATTCTTTGCTGATGATTGTTTTTTATTTTTATTTTATCCTTACTTTTTTCCCTGTTTCTTCCGGCCCTCAGATGACTCTTTTTGGATAAACAATGGTATGTTGATTTTATATGTTTAGTTTTTTTTAAGTATCATATCTGGTGTTGAATTCAACACATTGAAAAGCCTACCTTTATAACATGAAAGTTCTGCCGTGGATTTTATACATAAAGTTACAGATAGGATTTACCCTTAAGCTTTTCTAATAATAAACATCCTAATTTAATTTATGTTACAGAATTAAATATATATTCTGTAGCTGTATAAAAATTACACAGACCTCTCTGCTTCTGTTGCTCTCTGCTCTTCAGGTTTGCTGGTTCCCATATTGGTGGGCTGTTCCATACTGGGAGTTATTCTTATTGTGGCTTTAATATGCTTCCTGTTAAGGCAAAAAAGGTAAGTGAAGGGCAACAAAATAAATAAACAATATGCTTACTGAGAGAAACTTTTTTTGTTTTTACTTTAATTATTCCAACATTTACCATAAAAGCATTTGCAAATTAATTCAGATCTGGTGTGCCTTGAACTCTAGTAAAATGTATGGATCAAAGTTACCATCTTCAGACACTTTTTAGGATAAACCATTTACACATACAGTATGCTAGAAAGTTTACATACCTTCCAATTGAAGAAACTAATAAATGCACTCTAGTATTTCAAATAACACAAAGCTGAAGAGAGTAAATAGAAATAAAAATGTAAAAAATTATTTTGTAAAATAAAATATTGATTTTTGAATTTGAAAACTACTGTAACAGACAAATTAAATTACTTTATTGTAGTGATATATTTTTTAAAGCTGAGCAAACTTTATGTAATTTCTTAATATGAAAAAGGAAAAAAACAGTTAAAAAAAATTCTAACAGACACAGGATTTCTATAACAAGATGTTAATAAACAGCAAAAGAAATTTTAACTAAACGTGTGAGAGGAGATAAGGTAAAACAGACAAGAACAATAAAAAATGTGTAACGCCTTTCTGGCGATGTGGCAATAATAGTAATTGTCTTGATGCCAAAAAGAGCCCAACAGATTTTACTTTCACAAGTGGAGCAGTACAGCTATCGCCATAGTGTTCCGCTTGATTTATGCATATAAATAGCTTTATTATAACTCATGCAGGGAGTATTACAGATTATATGGACACAGCAATGTAAGTAGAACAGGAAAGGAAAAACAGAAAAAAAGGAGAAAAGATTAAAGAAAGAGGAGATAAAAGGGAGAGTAAAGCTACAGTGTGTAATAATTACAGGGATATACAGTCAGAAATGTAATATATTATACATAACTATGTTATTTATCATCATCTACGAGCTCAGCCTCTTAACCTTAATATTTGCGTTGCCTTAGAATTCGTTATTTATAATTACATAGGAGCGGGTCTCACAGCCATGGAGGCAGACATCTTTGTGCTACGGCAGCGCAGAGCCAACAAACTAGTGATTGCGAGATCGCCAAAATGTCACAACGATGTAGAAAAAATAACGGGTATATTTATTATCTTAAGTCTACATGAAATCTATACCCTACACAGACTAATGAAATACTATCTGTAAATTTATCTATGTAAACAAACCTCATCACTTGAGAAGGTAGGTGATGCGGACGTCGTGGAAGACATTTTGTCCCGTAACGCTCGCCGTACTGTTGGGGGGGAGAAGCGGTGGGGGGGGGAGATGTTCATGTTGCTGCAGTCTGCAGTCTGACCGCTAGATGTCGCTAAAAGTTACACACTGTAGCTTTAAGATAAAACATAGTAATGTGTAACATTTTTTTACATTTTAAAGAAATTTGATGGAGCAAATGTTATGATTAAAACAACACAATTAAAAACAGGAATGAAACAGATAACATCAGTAAAAAAAAAAACAAAAGAAAAACAGATGACCAATCATCAATGCATCCATTCATCTGTCTTTCTTTGCTGCTAGAAAGAAATTGGTCAAATATACAAATATTACATAGAAATTGTTAGATATTTAGCTTCAAAAATATCAGTTTGAGATGCAGAGATGCATCCATCCATCCATCCATCCATCCATCCATCTTCTTCCACTTGTCCATCAGGGTTATGGTGGTGCTGGAGTCTCCAGCAGTCAATGGGTGAAAGATGAGCTACACCCTCGACAGGTCAAACAGCTTTTATTTAGTTTCTTAAACCTAAAGCAATACAGTATAAAAATATGGAAACATGTTCATTTTATAAGAGAATTGACCTTTTACTTGGCTTAAGAACAGAGGTATGGGACAATACGATTGAGGCTTGAATGAGACATGAGATTTACTTTGCATCTAAATCAGATGCTTTGGTGTCTAAAACGTGTTTGGTTTGAACACACTATTAATTAGTTAATGAAACAAAATATAACCAATACCTGACATTTCTATTAAATTCACCTTAAGCCGTCCCAGACTCATTTTTCTCCAGAATTGTCTTTGCAGCTAATTTATCTGGATGTTATTTTGCTGTTATATAAATATCAAGCTACTTTCACCAAAGGCTGTTTATGTTGGCTTTAAATATTTAAAGATCAATGCAAAGATGCAAAGATTCATGTCAAAATTTATATTTAATATTATATTTAATTACTCAGAAGCTGAGAAGTCTTAAATCTGAAGCCACGGGATGCTGTTAAATTCCTATTGATGTAGACAATATGCAAAGAAACAGTCTGTGTAGTTTCTTTTTAGATCATGTGTAGCTGCTGTTTCTAGTTGGATTCTCGAGTACGTTAATCATGCTGGGTCAAATTGCTTTACCTGTTTTGCAATTTATTTATTAGAGCCAACATTGTTCAATTAAACAATCATCCTTCCCAATATTGAAGCAACTCAGTTTTAGCCATACCTTGTCAGATTTGTTTTTTCTTTCCTGTATTTGTGTTCATTTGATTTTATTCTGAATATTTCCCGATTTTATTTTTTTTAAGTTACAGCAGAATCTGTTTATCAATAAACTAATTTTCATCATGTCTTTTGTTTTCATCCTGTTCTGCCATTATTATGTCCATTGTAATTGTTTGTTCATAAACTATGAAACTGAAATGTACAGATGTTTTTTAAATAGACTTTGTCGTTCCTGCAAAGCTCTCATCCACATGCAGAACGGTTTTTGAAGGAAAAAAAATGTTGGTCTTTTCTCATAAACAGGTAACAAGATTATTAACAATAATGACGCAGATACTCACTACTGTAATTAATGTTTTGCTGCTTCTCTTTGCATTTAGCTCACTTTGTCCTGAAGGTGTTTCCATAAAACTTAAAGTCTACACTGAAAAACTGATTGATTAAAAGGGAAGCACAGACAATTGAACAAAAAACATATTTCAAAATAGTTCTTTAAGGATCCTTTGCCACACAGTGTTTAGCCAGGCTTTAGATTTTCATTTAATTTGATTTTATCTGTTTTTCAGAAGATGAAAAGATTAACCGACCTGGGTTTGCTCTTATGAATTCCTTAAATATAATTTAAGTTTTCTCAAACCTGACTTCCCCAAGAACTGATTAAGTAATCTAACACTAACCTATGAGGGAGGTGTTGGTATTCCCCATAATAGTTCTTCCAGCTTTGTTCAACATTCTAAAGTAAAAAAAAACAAACACTGCCAGTCACTTTGTAAATGAAGAGGTGAAACCAGCGACCAACATACTCCATGATGTAGGAGACTTTCACCCACCGAAAGGCTTTCGTTTTTGCTGGCCAGTTGAATTTCAAGGCGAGCAAAAGCAGAAAAACCTGGTGAAATTTTCGCAGGTTTAGCTTTTGGTGGGCTGTTTCTGCCTTGTTTGGGGACTCAGCTGTGTAACAGCATCTTGACTTCAGCCACTGCTTTCATCTTGGTTCCTGGAAAAAAAAGGAAACACAGAAAACAAACGAAAGCTATTCCATCTAGTCTCATAATTTTTGTTGATTAGGGCCATGATTTAGCCAAACCTAGAAAGTTAGATAAAAATGTTGCTGTAAGATCAATCAATGTGCTGGTTAGTGGCATACTTCAGAAGTGGATCGATAATCAACAATTTTCCGTCACGCTTATTACTTGCTGGTGCCTATCTCCAGCTGTCTATGAGGGAGAGGCAGGGTACACCTTGGACAGGTCGCCAGTCCATCGGAGGCCAATAATCACTATTGCCGTAGTTATTTAGTAGGGTAGATCTCCATTTACAACCACATAAATCCTAAGGAATACCATGGAAACTGTCGGCATCACATTCTTAAGTCAAGTGTTTATTGGCCTGATTTCTTCTGAAATTCTGCTTGCCCCCATGTTACACCTCCCTGATTGAGGTGATAAACATTATGTCTTACGGTTCCAATCGCATCAAACTTCACTGTATTTATAAAGTACTTTTAATGACCAAAGGGACGAAAGTTCTGAGCCAAATACAAAATACCAATGTGCTGTAACATAATGCATAACAACATTTGAAACACTACAAAGGCCAACAAAAGCACACAAAAATAAAATACAGTATAATTAAAGTAAATTACCAACCATGTGGTAAAATACTAATAGAAATAAGCAGATGCTAATGCCAACATCTCGCTTGGTGTCAAAGGCCAAGGCAAAGAAATGAGTTGTAATAGGAGTTTAAAGTCAGAAAGTAATGTAGAGTACAGTCGTCCCATTTCTCATTTTAGAACCTGCCACATCAAAATAACAACAGCTGCTGATAGGAGCAGCTGATCAACTGACCAAGAGACCAGAGTAATATTTTGTAGACCTCTGTATTGAGTACAGAAATTAAATCCAACAGGACAAGAACAACGCACTCACCAGTCTATAGTTAAAAATATCACTATAAAAACTTTTAACAGGGCTGTTTTGTTGCTGAGGAAGATTTTAACAACAGACTGGAAAATCTTTTAAATATCATGCTCCCCCGAGAAGGCCATCAGCTGACCAGAAACCACTCTGGTACCATTTATACCGGTATTCTATGGATACAAATGGCTGTACAACTCCTTAAAAACAGCTTTGAGCCATTAAAGGAACTAAGCTGTGACTTACTATATCTCCTCTGTTTTCATTACCATAACTTCTGTTCAAGGTGTACCTTGACCAGCATTCTGTTTTTTTGTGTGTTTCTGTTTTCCCTTATTCAATTGCAGAAGATAACAGTTCATACTGATGCTGTTTTGTTTTTTTTTCGTTGTTTTTTTTTGTTTGTTTTGTCTGGAGGTCTCTTTCTATTAAAAGGCAGCCTTTTCTTTCCAGTTTCCCTTCAAGCTAAGGACAAAATACTGATGCTGTCAGTTGTTTTCAGCTTCCAACTGGCAATATAATTTAAAACAGACTGTTTTATATTATAGTAAAGATAAGGTTAGATTGTGTGTCATTAAATCTGAATTTAATTGATATTAATTCTATTCACTGAGTAAGTGGAAATAAATTATACCTGTTTTCTTCTTGATAGGTGCCTTGACAAGATATTTCTTGCGAATTATGGATATTATGAATGCAACGGAAAACAGATATCTGATCTAACACCACTATTGTAGATTGCAGACTTAGATTATCCTGCTGGATTTGAACATTTATTCTGCATTGATGTTTCCCTCACATTTACAAGCTGTGTACGATCTACCACTGACTAGCAGGTCTACAGACTGGTGCTTCAAATCATGATGCTTTAGATGAATGTGTCTTTTTTGTCTCATCAGATTTTGATTTTTAACCTTGAAATCACTAACGTTATTTGGGATTAATCTGTAGCGCTACTTCATATGAAAACCTTTCAACAGTTCTTGCCATTCTCAAATATAATTTCTCTCAATGTAGCACTTGGGTAATTGATTTTGTATGCAGAGGCCTCTTAATCTGAGTCCTGGAAGCTTTTCATTTCTTCACAGGTGGTTTCTTTCACCAGTCTGCATTTTTGTAGCCTGACGTAGTCCGACTCAATTCTAGTCAGAATATGAGTCTGATACTGCTCCATAGAGCTGTGATTATGGGGCGTGTTTCGAACGAACCAGGAAAAAAAATGCCTCTGCACTCAATTGGATAGACCTACAACCAATAAGAGCAACGGAGTGCGTGACGTATGTTAAGCGAGGCATAGTTGTTGTCCACAAAAATCAAAGCGTGCAGTTGCACGCCTAGAATAAGAAGATGAGACTTGATCGCGTTTCTCTGTTCCTCTTTTAAAATTAATTTGCTGTCGATATCTTCTAGAACAGACCTAATAGCAGAATCTACTCACCCAAACTCTCCAGCGGCAGCCATTGTTGTTGTCACCCAAGCGCGCTTTGGTCACGTGGTTGATTACGTTACTCTTGATCATCTGTCCATCATCATATAAAGCCCGCCCTGACAATTTGATTGGATCGCCTGACAGTGGGCGATAATACTACTATGGAGCAGAGCCAGACCGAACTTCCCCGAACTCAAACCTTGTGGGCGGGACTAAGTTCGGACTGGCACCCAGGCTAGCATTTTTGCCTGTTTGGTTTGTGAAAACAGTCCGTCTGAGGCAGATTTAAAGGGCTTCTTTCAATTCTTAATGGTAGTTTGGGCAAACTGGAAATATATCAGTAGCCATCTCATGAAACATATCTTATCCTTCGTCTGAGTTGCTTACTGTTTTTTTTGTTTTGTTTTGTTTTTTGTATGTGACACTGTTGGTATCAAACGATCTCTGTTCAATTAGGATATGCTTGTTAAACTAGGTGAACATTTATTAAAATACTTATTTTAGGCTATATATTTTAAAAAAAAATTAGATCAGTTTGGGACCATATTTTTCACTGAAACAAAAGTGTTTTTGTCTCTTTATGCATTTTTTGTAAAAATAAAAAATAAAAAATTAAATAAAATACTTACAAGATACACTGATGAAGGTTAAAAAGACAAAACAGAAATACACCCAAGTGGATTGAATATATGTTGTATACTAAACATTGTCTTGATGGAAAAGTAATGCCTTTCATTTTATAAACATATATTTTATCTCTGTTTTAAATGTTCTCAGATCTGCAGGCGACCAGAATAAAAGCAAGAGTGTCGTGTCCAACATTGGAGACAGAGACGAGTGTGGCTCAAGAGTCTAGCATCTGTCATCAATGAATCCTCTTGTCTCTTCTTGTAATCCCTTTAGTTTTATTGAAGTTGTTTATGGCTTGTTTTAAAAACCTATACATGCATGCAACTTCATATACAGGTGCTGGTCATAAAATTAGAATATCATGAAAAAGTAGATTGATTTCAGTAATTCCATTTAAAAAGTGAAACTTGTATATTATATTCATACATTACATACAAACTCATATATTTCAGATGTTTATTTTGTTTAATTTTGATGATTACAAATGACAACAAATGAAAATCTCAAATTCATCATATCAGAAAATTAGAATATTACTGAAGACCAATAAAAACAAAGGATTTATAGAAATGTTGGCCAACTGAAAAGTATGAACATGAAAAGTATGAGCATGTACAGCACTCAGTATTTAGTTGGGCCTCCTTTGGCCTGTATTACTGCAGCAATGCGGCGTGGCATGGAGTCGATCAGTCTGTGGCACTGCTCAGGTGTTATGATAGCCCAGGTTGCTCTAATAGTGGCTTTTAGCTCTTCTGAATTGTTGGGTCTGGTGTATTGCATCTTCTTCTTCACAATACCCCATAGATTTTCTATGGGGTTAAGGTCAGGAGAGTTTGCTGGCCAATTAAGAACAGGGATACCATGGTCCTTCAACCAGGTACTGGTAGCTTTGGCACTGTGTGCAGGTGCCAAGTCCTGTTTGAAAATGAAATCTGCATCTCCAAAAAGTTGGTCAGCTGCAGGAAGCATGAAGTGCTCTAAAACTTCCTGGTATGTGGCTGCGTTGACCCTGGACCTCAGAAAACACAATGGACCAACACCAGCAGATGACATGGCACCCCAAACCATCACTGACTGTGGAAACTTTACACTGGACTTCAAGCAACGTGGATGAAGTGCCTCTCTTCTTTTCCTCCAGACTCTGGGACCTTGATTTCCAAAGGAAATGCAAAATTTACTTTCATCAGAGAACATGACTTTGGACCACTCACCAGCAGTCCAGTCCTGTTTCTCTTTAGCCCAGGCAAGACGCTTCTGACGCTGTCTGTGGTTCAAGAGTGGCTTGACACAAGGAATGCGACAGCAGAAACCCATGTCTTTCATACGTCTGTGTGTGGTGGTTCTTGAAGCACTCACTCCAGCTGCAGTCCACTCTTTGTGAATCTCCCCCACATTTTTGAAGGGGTTTTGTTTCACAATCCTCTCCAGGGTGCGGTTATCTCTCTTGCTTGTACACTTTTTTCGACCACATCTTTTCCTTCCCTTCGCCTCTCTATTAATGTGCTTGGACACTGAGCTCTGTGAACAGCCAGCCTCTTTAGCGATGACCTTTTGTGTCTTGCCCTCCTTGTGAAAGGTGTCGATGGTCGTCTTTTGGACAACTGTCAAGTCAGCAGTCTTCCCCATGATTGTGTAGCCTATAGAACTAGACTGAAAGACCATTTAAAGGCTTTTGCAGGTGGTTTGAGTTAATTAGCTGATTAGAGTGTGGCACCAGGGGCCATCAATTTTGAACCTTTTCACAATATTCTAATTTTCTGATATGATGAATTTGAGATTTTCATTTGTTGTCATTTGTAATCATCAAAATTAAACAAAATAAACATCTGAAATATATGAGTTTGTATGTAATGTATGAATATAATATACAAGTTTCACTTTTTAAATGGAATTACTGAAATCAATCTACTTTTTCATGATATTCTAATTTTATGACCAGCACCTGTAATTATCTCTGCATTGAGTAAAGGATTTTGGGGAGATTCTTTTCTCCCCTTCAAGCCTTAGTCATGTCTTGCTTAGCTGTGACGTGCAGACACACTGCAAAAACGATCTAGAAATAAGAAAAAAATTTCATAAATTAAGTGTATTTACCCTTATTTTGAGCAGGTTAATAAGATGGTTTGCCAATGGAATGAGTATATCCACTCTTAAAGTAAGACAATTGGATATTATGCACTTGAACAATTGAACAACACTTGACAATGTAGCTGTTTTTCTCATTTTATATGTAAATAATCTTTTTCCATTTGCAAAATGTCTTGCTTATCTCCTCAGTTCAAGAACAAATTAAATAGAGATAGAACTTCTTGCAATGCAGAACATGTTTGGTCTCAATGCTGTATGTTTTACATTGCATGATTTCTTCCCTGTTGAAAGGAGCAAAGTGCTGTCCATGCAAATACAACTCCATTTGTGTGACGCAGTATGACTGGATTCTGAAAAGAGGTGCCACACAGAAGCTTCCAGGCAAGTGGAGTTAGGCCGTAGCTGAACTGCTGACGTTCTCAAATCAAGTCAGATCAAGACATGTATTCCACAGGGCTGTCCCGACATGGTGGAAAGCCTAACCACAAGCCAAACAATAGAGGAATAGGAGTCGGCAGACATGGCCTGAGAGGGATGGGCTGCGCCACATTTCCACCAACCCTGTACTTAGAACTGCTATACGGATTTTATAATAAAAGGGTTCTCAGCTCCATACAAACACAGCTCCTTCCCTGTGAATAATACTGAGGGGGAAAAAGGCCTTTGTGTTTTCAGGCTGCATGTGGGCTGACTATTAACCCCTGTCTGATCACAAGACTAACCTCTGAGCACATTACAGAGCTTCTCAGTAGATTGCACAGTCAGACCATTGGAGACATAATGTTAAACCTTTGTTTTCATTTAACAAGTTTCAGATATTTTACTGATATGTAATATGAAGGGATAATTTGATAAAATAAGCATTGGATTCTTCACATAGTGCACTGAGTATTTGTTTCTTTTTTATTTGTTTTTTTTGCAAAGCATCATTCAGCAGTTGTGTTTTCTCTGCTCTTCCCAACACATCATTGTTAATATCGTGCTTCCATATTTATCTGTCATGTGTCATGACATATGTCAAGATGTATTTGTTACTTGAAAAATTTCTGTGGTTGCTGTAAAAAGCAGGGTTTTTTATGTGAGTCTTTGAGAAGATTGAAAAAAATAAAATAATGTAAAAAAATAAAATCTTAACATCTTTTCAAATTAAACGTGTTTTTCACAGATTTCTTTTCTTCTCTATACTGAAATTTTTACTCAGTAATTAAATTTAGCATTGCACACAGAGAGCTATTTTAGAAATGTACACGAAACATTTGATTATCCGTATATTAGAGTATTTTTAAAACAAACAAAAAGAGATCTTTAACAAAACAAATTACTTTCTCGACCTCAACCTCCGTTTTTTTACGGAAGAGGATTAGGGCCATCAAAAAAATTAAAAAGCTGAACTGTTTTTTTTAAATGTATTTCACATTAATATGGGACTTTTTTCCCTCAGAATTCTGACTGTTTTCTCAGAATTCTGAATTTTTTCTCAAAATTCTGAATTTTTTCTCAAAATTCTTATTTAACTCTCAGAATTCTGACTTTAATCTCAGAATTCTGACTTTTTTCTCAGAATTCTGACTTTTTTTTTAATTCTGACCTTTTTCTCAGAATTCTGAGTTCTTTCCCATATTAAACTGAAATAAAAGAAAACTTTTTTTATTTTGTCAGTGGCCCTAATCCTCTTTCGTAGTACGTTTTATGCATGTGGGGGAAAAAATACACAACTGGTTTTGTTAATTACACAATACTGACATCAAGCGGTGACTATTTTCAATTGCAAGAATAAAATCTGTTTTTTAACTTCCGGGTTCTGCGTCAGTTTAAGTGGTCCACGTCCTACAACCCAAGCAGTTGCTGGTTATTTACTTTCCTGGCTGGTTTTAGCTTTTTCTCGTCATGTATCACCAGCCTGTGCTGAAGAACAGGCGCACTCTCTTGGAGAGAGCAGAGAAGTTTATATCTGATGTGTATTTCACAGACTGCAACCTGAGAGGACGGTAAGGCTTTGTTCATTGAGCTGCACGGCGCAAACTGTCACTGCATAATCACAACAGTCTGTTTATGTATAGAGACTTGGAAGTTTTTACATCTCCTAGACCTCATAATAAAAATACATCTTAAAAATATAGCTTTTTTTGTTGTTGTTGTGAGAAATCAGTGTAAGTACTCCACACAACAAAAATATTTTGGCTATATATACCTATATTTAAAAACAGTAGTTGTAGATGTTTGTTTTTAAGAATTTGTTTACATAGAGTCACCTGCAGGTTGCATATCCAAAGAACCTCCTTAAACTGGAGCTTTAGAACTCTTGTCAGCTCTGCACAATGGGTCATTCTCAGTCAGATTCCACCAGTTTCCCAGTCTCTGGTGAAGAAAATTCACACAGCATGATACTACCTCCTCTATGCTTTCACCATGGAGATGGTTCACCCAGTGAATAGTCAGCGTTTGTTTTTTTGCCAACTCTTGCATATTAATTATACATTTCACATTTGGTCTCAATAGAGCACCTCACAGTCCCCTATTTGTTTCCTTTTTTTTTTGGAGGGGGTGAGGGGCTGGGTTGCTAGTCCTTAATAGGTTTTTATTCATACAGTTTTTTAGAATTATTAATTAAAAAGTTATTTTCAGACAATTAGATTTAATAATGCTAATTTTAAAGTTATTTGACTTTAAGTTATAGTATCTGAGTGAGTGGGAAAAAATGCATGCTTCTCAGTATTGCTTTCTGTAAAAAAAGAAATTTAGTACTTTTTATCAAATCTTTATCAAATGTATATGGAGTTTTTTGCTTGCAATGTCACAAACAGTAAAATGAAAAGATTGTAGGAATACTATGGCACACCTTTACAGTGTATTGTGCTTTTATTTTATGAATTATTAAAATTTACAGGCTGTATGGTGAATCTTGTGCGCTGAAAGCCATCAGCTTCTTCCTGTCTCAGAGAAGAATCCCCTTTGCCGAGGCCTCCAAGCAGAACTTTGTACCTTATAAAGTTGGTGATACATTTGGACCTACGTAAGTGATGCATAGACTGAGTTCCTTTTAGTTTCTTTTTAGAGTATAATCTTTTAAACTCTGTAAATCCAGAACTAAATACAATTTGAATGCTTTTTAAGATGGTGGACTTGCTGGTTTAAAGTGTCCCTGACAATCCCTGAATCCTGGAGAGGGAAAGAGGTTCATCTGCTTTGGGAGAGCGATGGGGAAGGAATGGTTTGGAGAGATGGGGAGCCAGTTCAGGTAATGCGTAAATACATACATACACACACACACACACATATATATATATATATATATATATATATATATATATATATATATATATATATACTTTTTTTTGTCAAACTGTATCAAACTACAGACTGTACCTCGTTTAGATATCATGTATGAAACACCATTTGTACTTACAGGGATTTACTAAAGAGGGTGAAAAGACAAGTTACGTCTTGTCTTACTGTTTGAAAGATGAGGAGCCCCACAGGTCAGTACAATTATCTTCTGCTGAATCAAAACAAAACTATGGCAATATATTTTGTATTAAAGGAAGAGCATTTAAAAGTAAAAAGCACAGCATCGTCCAAAGCAATTAGAAACAACCAAACAGACTCAACAGATAGGTGTAGTGATGGACTCAGACCCAGAAATTCATAGGCACATAAAGACAGTAGGTGCGTTTCCATCAGCTTTTTTTAATGCGTATCTTGAAGTATTGCATTATAACATGTCCAGGAATAAAGGACTAATATTTTAGCAGGATCTTGAGAAACGATTTCATGCCTTCCGCTGTAGTAGAATCGATTACTGCAACAGAGTCTACTCGGGTCTTTCTAGATGTCAGTCAGACATCAGCAGTTGGTCCAGAATAATGCTGCCCAAATCCTCACTATTCATATTGAGAAAGTGGAGCACATCAGCCCAATTCGGAAGTTGTTATCCTGGTTCTCTGCATATCAGATAAAAGACTTTCAAATAATTGTATCAGTCTTTAAATTATTGAATAGCTTAGCTCATTAGTCAGCGTATCAACCATCCAGACCTTTCAGATCGTCTGGCTCTAATCTACTCTGCAAACCAGGAATAAAACATTGAGAAGCAGCTTTTAGTTTAAATGATCCACTAATCTGAAACAAAGTCCTAGAAAACTGTAAAAGTCATGAAATCCTGTGTTGTTTAATTTGTTGAGAGTGGCCTTTGACTGCGTTATCTAAACATTATTAGTTTAAGTTTCTATTCCAACTTATTTTCATAACAAATGTGTTATCTTCATTTATTGTCTTGAAATCTACTTTTGCCCAGTCTGTTTTCCCATTATGTACAGCACTTTGAATTGTCTTTCTGCTGAAATGTGCTGTATAAATAAACTAAACTTGCCTTTCCCTGCTTTATTGGACTGAAATCTGATGGAAGTACTTTTTTCTGCAATTGATTGACTTATGTCATATCCCCCATCTTTCCTAAAAAGCATCAGCCTGTATGTGGAAGTAGCCTGTAATGGGCTTTTCGGCGCTGGTCAAGGATCCATGATTGCAGCTCCTGACCCAAGCAGGATGTTTTCTGTACAGAAAGCAGAGCTGGTAATATTCAACCGGGATGTGCAGAAGCTGCTGACTGAGTTTGAGATGCTTGTTGACATTGTTAAGGTACCATAACGTAAAACAATGTGTGATAATTTATCAGTAAGATGAGGAGATGATGCTTTATAAGGAGTAACCTGAAATTCTGGGCATCTTTTAAACAGGAGGTAGGCGAGGAGGAGCAGCGGGGCTACCAGGCGCTCTTCACTGCTAATGAGATGGTGAACCTCTGTGACCCGTTTGATCCCAGCTCCTTCTCCAAAGCTCACTGTCTGGCCCACAAGTTCTTTAACCAGCGGAACGGAGAAAGCCAGCACACTGTCCACGCTATGGGTCACTGCCACATAGATTCAGGTCTTCTTTTTATTTACTTAATCTCTCTATTATTATTCAAAGAATCCAGTGAACATAATCTGACCTACTGCTGTCAATCTTTTTGGTTTAACCACATTTTCTAAAAAAAAAAAAAAAAGGTACTATGTCATTTTTTTCAGAAGTAAGGAAGCTTTTAAACTCACTTAAAGGAGAAGTTCGGTTTTTTACACTTTAAGCCCATTTTCTGTAGTGTCCAGGATGAAATCGAATGATCGACACCAAAAGTTTGACAATTGCTCCTGTCTCTGCTTTTCGGCTCATTTAGAATCAACCCCTGGCTGCTTTAGAATGGCTAGCATAGAGCATGTCCGATAATGTCCTTAAAACAACCTTAAACGTTCTTTTTTTTAAATATGCTACTCACCGTGTCGTCAGCGCTGTTCAATGACGTTCCAAAAAAAGTTTCGTGAAGAAAAAACTTTCCTGTAGTGTTTTATTTAGCATTTTGTAAATCCCATTGAGTTCTGTAGGAATAGTCAATATTCCGCTGCCACCGGAAACGGAAATGGGGCCTGTTTACACAGTTGTAGTCTTTTCGCAAGACCCAAGTGTTTCTGCTCCACTCTGTGTACTCCGACGTCGAGGTGCTAACGTCTCTGTTAAACACTTTAAAAAACTCTGAAAATGGAATACGAAAGGTGGATTCTTGATTCTCGACGTCGGAGTAAACAGAGTGAAGCGAAAAGACTACAACTGTGTAAACAGGCCCCATTTCCGTTTCCGGTGGCAGCGGAATATTGACTATTCCTACAGAACTCAATGGGATTTACAAAATGCTAAATAAAACACTACAGGAACGTTTTTTCTTCACGAAACTTTTTTTGGAACGTCATTGAACAGCGCTGACGACACGGTGAGTAGCATATTTAAAAAAAAGAACGTTTAAGGTTGTTTTAAGGACATTATCGGACATGCTCTATGCAAGCCATTCTAAAGCAGTCAGGGGGTGATTCTAAATGAGCCAAAAAGCAGAGACAGGAGCAATTGTCAAACTTTTGGTGTCGATCATTCGATTTCATCCTGGACACTACAGAAAATGGGCTTAAAGTGTAAAAAACCGAACTTCTCCTTTAATACAAGATGTAATCAAGAATAGGCTAAAACTCTGTTTAGGTCAAACTCTTTCCATCTGAAAAAATACTCCCTTTCTTT